GCGTAAACCAGAAAAATGACTGGAAGGTAAAGATGAGGGTGAGGGTTTAAAGATAAACATTCCACACACGGATAAGAAGAAATCGTGGATGCTCCTATACTCAACGCGTAGTTTTGTTTCTCTTGTAGGCTCTTTGTCTCAACTCGTAAATGTCTTGGTTCATTTTTTTATTTTTTATTTTCAAAATGTTTACCAATTTGTTAATTATTATTAAACTATTCAATAGTCCTTGAAGTCCTTCTCTTGCATGGCTAGATCTGTGATGCTTTAGGTTCTTAATTTGTTTTTTTCAAGATAATTAATGAGATAATAATTATGGTATCGGTATATATTCGTGCGATACACTTTAGAAAATTTGGATGCGCATAATTATGTCCATCCAAATTTGAGCTTTGATAAATTAGACAAAATATAAATTTAAAGATTAGGCTTTGACAGTTATAAAACAAAATTGATATTTATTTTATTTTCTAAATAAAGTAAAATATATAATATAATTGATTGTTTATGATGTTTATTGATATTTTAAATTTTTATTAATTAATTGACTAAACTAAAATATTATATAAATAATATTAAAATTTTAATTTTATTAATTTTAATTATATACTTAAAAAAATAGTTTCTAAAATGAGTTAACAAAGACAAAAGAAATATCAATGTTTAGTGTATTTTAATTAGAGTCTAATTTATTTAAAACAAATTAACAATGAGTGAAAAATTAGTTGCATATTATATTTCTAGCATAGAGTGATATATTGATCTCTAATGTAACACAATTAGATACTAAAGAAAATCTAAAATGAGTTAATAGAGACTAAAAAATCAATTACTATTTACTAGTGTATTTTAATTAGAGACCAAATATTTTTGTGTCTAAAATAATTTAACAATGACTGAAATTTCAATTTCTTGTTAGATTTTTATTAGAGACTAATACATTGGTTTCTAATATAGAACAATTAGATACTAAAAAAATGGTATCTATATTGAGTGAATAGTGACAAAAAATCAGTCTCTAGTAATAGTGACCATAAATATTGGTTTCTAAAGTGTTTTAATAGTGACCAAAAATTTTGTCTTAGATTATATTTTAATTAGAGACTAAAAAAGTTGTATCTAATTAAATAAATAATATTTTTTAAATTATTAGCTACTAAAAGTTTGGTCCCTAATCACATTAAAAATATTAATGACAACAGAAATTGAATTAGGAACCAACTATAATCAATCTCTAAAATAGTATTTAAATAAGTTGATAAAGTGACTATATAAATTTGGTCTCTAAATCAGTCTCTATTTAATAAATTTCTTGTAGTGCACTAAAATAATTTAATTAAGCTAAATCATGCATACCAAGAACACCAAACATACAACAATCTCAATATATTTACCACTTATCCAAACAACATGCCAACAAAGCATACAATACGGCACAACTTTTGGGTGTTCAAAAAACAAAACTAGGTTTCTCAAAAATTATGTAATACAGATAACTAACCTATGTCATCTCTCAAGGACATAAGTTCATTCTATTTTTGGTTTTTACCATACAATTTGGTTAGGTTTGGGGGATTTTGTTTCAAACAGTAAACAACAATACAGAAAAAATAAGATAAAATCTCAATACAGAATTTTAATATTATCAAATACCGGTTCAAGGTTTTAATTCTTACGGTGTAATTTTCATTGTTAACAAAAAATATGAATTCTCAATCAACCTAATTCAATTCAAAATCAATCATAATAGAAATCTAAATCTAGATTATGAATTCCATTGAAACAAGAACTATAATCGCAAACTCAAGATTCTAACAAAATTCAAAAATGGTAATCGATTGAATTAAGAGATTTAGGCTATTTCAAATATGAAATTACATCTTCTCATTTCTTTTTAGGATTCAAAACGAAAATTCAATGTCATGAAAAATGAAATTATCCTAAACAGAAAATAGAAGACGAAGAGAGAATTCGTTCAGTAAAAATTAGGAACTCAAATTTACCGTAGTTCTTGAAATCCTAAACCGATTGATGGATTAGCCTTACCTCATAATCATGTTGCTTTAGCCAATTCCAGTGGAGAAGAGAGAAATTTCGTGAAAGAGAGAGAGAAGAAAAGAGAAGAGAGAATTTAAGAGAAACTTGTAACACAAGTAAACTCAAATTTGAAAAATGAGGAAAAAGTTAAATGTAAATAATCGTTACATGTATTTAAAGACAAAGTAATGAGGCCTAAAATAAGGGCCCAACCCACTAATTACATTCCTAAAGCCTAATTATCTTCAACTAAACAGTTTCAAGATAAGTTGAAAATTTTAGTGCAGGGCCACGAGCTTGAGGCGCGACTTTAGGCCTGTAAACATCCGAACTGTGTTTTTCTCCCAACATAGAAGTTGTAGATCTCCCTCTTATCTTTCCGAAGACACCAAGTTTGCCTAATTCCAAGTTGTATGGTTCCAGATATGGCTTGCACAAGAAACTGTGTCAAAACAGGAAATTATTACAGGAACTTAATAAAATTTACAACTAAATCCTAAATGACTCACTAACACAAATCTAAACTAATACATAATATACAACATTAAAATAATTCAAATAAGGCAAAAACATATATATAAAAAAAAGATATACTAAAATATGACTATCACCCCTTCAGGATCATGTAGAGATACAACCTAAAATATTTAAGATCAACCTCACTACCCACATTTGCATTACACTCTAAATGAGATAACTTATTCTCCCTTATATCATGAAAAGTTTCCAACCATGCAAGGATTTTAACTTAACAAGGCTCCACTCCTTAGCCTTCTTGTTTCCCGCTTGTATTTTTTCAAGATGAGGTTCCAACAAGAAAAGCAAAAAGTATGAGGTTCAACCTAATAGATTCTTTTAAATAACAAAAATACTTATTGGGTAATGGGGACAAAGACCCAATAAACATAAAATAAATTTTATTTTCCTTAAAGCATTTATTGAAACACTTTTAATTATAAAATCTAATTTTCAACCCACTGACTCAAAAATACGATATTATTGAATTGAAACCTTAAAAAGGTTTAATTAAAATCCAAGTGTTACCACTTTCCTCTTTTAACTCTATTGCAAACAAAAGTATCATTTAAAATATCTTTAATAATTCTATTAAATATTTTAATTAATTAAAAATGTATTTTTTTACACAATGAATGCTGCTTCTTTTTCTTTTTCTTTTTTCTTGAAGAAATGTTTAGTTAAATATCTTTTAGAATGGCTGAATTTTGGTTTGGTCCTTATATGATTTTATTTTTCTTTGAATTTAATTTCTAAAAATATAAAAATTATTATTTTTGGTTCTTGTTATTATGTAACACTTAATATTTGTTTATATGTTTAACAAAAGATCAAGTGATGATTGCAGGTTACACCTATTAGTGTATGTGGTACCGATGTCAATATGTTGCATTTTTAAACATTATTCTAGTTCTTTAAAATGATTATATGACTTGACTACATTAAAATAAATGTTAGGGATAAAACATAATTTCAAATTTTAGAGAATGAAAATTAAATAATTTTTTTAAATAGAACACAACCAAATTTAGTTTACCAACTTGGGTTAGTGCGAGTGGCAAGGGATTCATGTCGTTTAACTAAGTGGTCAAGATTCAAATCCTGACTCTTGCATATGTAGAAAACTTAAGCTAGAGGGATGCCCACTTATTTTGGTGCCTATCAAATCTCGAGGGAGATTGTCCTGTGTTTAACGAGGAATACTCCTTAGTAATGAACAAAAAAAATCAAATTTAATTTATTTTACAGGATAAAAGACAATGTTTTTAAATTTTAGAAGAATGAAAATTAAAGAGTTATTATAGGAACAAAACTGAAAATTCGCTTATGTTATACAAACTAAAAACATATTTAAGTTGTTTTTAGAGAAAATAGGTGATACATAAACAATGTGAAGTAATTTTACATCGTTATCTAATCACAAACTACCATTTATGTTGGCTTTTAAATCAATCCCTATATATTAGATACGAACCTCTATCTCACACTAGAGTATTTTTAGGGTTTTTCTTCAATGGGAAGATTTGTAGATTTTTTTCAAACTTTTTATTTAATTTAATTTTTATTTATCATAATTATTTACTAATTAAATATTGATGTTTTGAAATAAATTATCAATAAATGAAAATATTTTTTTACAATACAAATTATTTATCATAAATTTAAAATATAATTTATATGATTGTAAAATATTTAATTTTAAATATAATTTATATATTCAAATATAGTATTTATTTATATATATAATTTATTAAAAAATGCTAATTTATATAATAAATATGCCTTTGCATTGTACAGGTTAAATTACTAGCAAATAAGAAAAAAATTCATACCAACAGTGATACTTGATTCACTGTGAATGTAAAACTACATTGCAATGTCGTTAAACTCTTTTTTAATCAATCACTTAAGATATTTGTTGACACTTGTCTTAAATTAGTGATATATTTCTCGATAATTTTAACTATTTTTCTTTTTTCATGTGTATTTTTTACTCTCCTGTCCCATAACATTTGAAAAATGTATTTAAATAATTGATTTTTTTTTCTTAATTTGTCCAGTCGTAAATTGTTCAACTACTGTAATTAAAAATAATGTATTTATTAAAATAGTGACTCTATTTTAATAAAATTATATTAAATAAAATATATTTATTATGTGTAAAAACTTTGAACCTTTGTCATTCAAAGGATAATATTTCACTTTGATAAAAAACTATCCGCATATTTATTTATATTACATAAAATACTTATTACTCCTTAATTTTAATTCTGGAATACATTTAGTGCACTAAGCCACAATAAAACTTGGTAATTATTAGGCGTGTAGTGGCTAGATTAATGGCGTCATTTTTATTTGGTGAATCAAACTTGCATAGTTTTTGGTTTTAATGCATTTATGTAAGGTGGGGGCACAAGGCATTGTAAAAGTCCCAGAAACGTGACAGTCCAATTTTTCCACAAACAAGTTAAAAAGGGAGAGTCTCCTAGTAGAACAGACACCACTCTCTATGTCATTCGCCAAAACCTTGTTTTCTTCTGAATTTCTAAGGTAGCGTCTCTGCTTCTTCTTCCTTTCTTTTTCCCCAATCTATGTTTGTTTTTTTCTACCTGAGATCGTGAAACCCTTCAATGGACCAAGTCAATTTTGTTGGTGGGGAGATTCCAATTTCCTAGATTATCATCCTCTTTTCTCTGTGTTGTACAAAAAACATAGAACAGAATTTTCAGTTATTATTTTCTTGGTCCCTAAGCTACCTAATCTTTAATCTGACCTGGTCCTTATGTCAATTTCAGGAATGTATGGTATGGTACCCTTTGGTGTTCTCTTCCTTAATCTCTAGCCAGGTGCAAGTGATTGCACACTTTGTTCATCAATCACCCAAAAATTCAAGAAAGACCCGTTTTTGGGTCCATGGAAGAAGAGCAAGAGATTCAGCATCATAGGGAAAAGGAAAATCAAGGGTCTCTGGCTTCTGGGGACAACAATGAGCATCGTTCTTTCATGTGCCAAATCTGCAACAAAGGATTCAGCTCAGGTAAAGCTCTTGGTGGACACTTGAGAATACACAACGTCTCTAGGAAGCAATTGAGTAGAGCCAACCAAGGTGTTACAAAACCCAAAACCAAGAACAAATGGGTGTTGGTGAGTGGCAACAACCCCACTTGTGCCCTTTGTGGGAAGAGTTTCTGTTCCATGAAGTCCTTGTTTGGGCACATGAGATCTCACCCTGAGAAATTGAGGAGGGGGATTCAAAGCATCATTCATAACAATGGTGCGTCCTCCAATTCCACATGTTCCTCGACCCTCTCTGATGACTCTGCTGTTGATCTTTCTCAAACCCTCAGTGGTTGGTCTAAGACTGCCAAGAGAGGCCGCAAAAGCCCCTCTTCTAGCAATGCAAATTCTGGGTTAGAAGATGATGGGATTGAAGAGCGTATGCAAGAGGCTGTGTATGAGCTCATGTTGCTGGCGAGTGGGGATCCTAAGAGGGAGGAAGAGCTTCATGGTGATCAGATTCAAGAGAAGCCATTGAACTGTGAAAAGGGGTTGCTGTTGTTAAAGCCAGATTTTGGGAATTCTGGTGTCAAGAAGATATATAGAAAGAAAGGGGCAAAGAAAATGAAATCAATAGAATTAGAAGCAGCTGAGGAGGAGAACAAGCTGGTTAGAAGCGGATTATGCAACACCACTTTCTCAAGTCACCAAGCTTTGGAGGGTCATCTATGCAGTCATGAAAATTCTAAGAACATCGAAGTTATGGAGGAGTCCGAATCTGTGTCTGCCACAGGGGACAGAACAACCATGCAAGGGAATGAAACAGGAACTGTTCTTGGGGGCTGTGCTGTGGAAGCCATGAGAGGGTATCAATGTAAAATTTTCAACAAGACTTTTTCAATTGGTCCAGCATTTGGGGACCACAAGGGATCTCATTGGACAGGCATGGCAGAAGCTCAGTCAGCTCAAGAAACTTCTTCACTTGTGGAAAATGGACAGAATTGTTCCAAGGTTTTGGCTTTTGATCTTAATCAGCCTCCAGCTATTTTGGATGAGGAAGACGGTGTTCAATCAGACTTATTTGTCTCTGTCAATATTATGGCATCATCCAGTTATAATTCTTCCTTCTAAAACCCTTACTAATTAGTGAATTCAAATTTGGTCTTTGATGATTATAGGGCATGGATGCTGTTAGCAAAGATCAGTACTCTTTAGAAATAGTTTTACTTTCTAATTGTTCAGTTGAATTTGTCTTTGGTTTTAGCTTCCTGTGGTGAGACACCATGATAGATGAGGAACCATCATAGTTGTTTCCTATGTTTTGTGTAGGGTCATGCACTCTTGTCTTTTCTGTATTTTCTTTCTCAATGTGAAGCATGATGTGTCCAACCAGCTTGCTGGGGAGGAAAGATCCGAAAGGGCATTGTGGAGCTTTCATTGGGATATAAATGTTTCCTTTTTCTACTTAAATGCAATTGGACAATTTGGTTCTATCATATGCTTTTTTAAATAATTATTTGACCATCATCACCTTGATTATGGTGCCTAAGTTCTTATTTTATGTTGATTCTACGGTGGTCAAAATTTCATTCTATGTTAAACAAAAAATCTGCTGAAATTTCTTCCTCCCGTGTTGTGAATGGTACATATAATGAATAAATTGAGCCATTGAGGTGAAAGTTAAAAATAGAAAACAAAATGACTTCCAGAATCAAGGATCATTGTACCAAGAGTTTATGTCTAATAGACATTAAAATCGGAGAGATTATTGAATTATTCTGATGGAGTGAGAGATTAGTTAGAAGCAACGTGTTCTGTTCAAAGCTGAAACTGGCATTTTGCTATTTGCACGAATATTGCCGTGGGATCAGTAAATAGAATAACATTACGCTCATAAAAGACGTCTTAATGTAGCTGTAGCCCCGTTACCTACCAGTTTAATTTTGATGCGTTATTACTATATATAAATAGAGTGGAATAATTTCACTAAAGTATCTTTATTAATTGTTGAAAAACTGATGCACATGGTACTAAAAAATACTAGTGTCTTTATTATTTATTTGGAGGAAAAATTATAATACCAAGTTAAAATTTTATTGAAAACGTAAAATATTACTTAATAAGAAATTTTCGTCATGTTAAAACATTACTTATTTCTTTAAGAAATATTACAAAAAAAGTCAATCATCTTACTTTACGTTTTTTTACTATACTTTTTTTAATAAAAAAAAATAGAAATGCTATTGAATTATTATACAAAAAGTGATTTTAACTAGATTAGTATCATAGTCTTAATCAATCATTTGCAGGATTTTTAAAGTATTATTAAGAAAAGATAAAAGAATACAAGAAAATTGAAGGACCGCACCAAATTCACTTAAGAAAATCTATAACATGACAAGTCACACAAGTCACACCTATCATAATTGAAACTATGTATCATACAAATAAATACATAATCATACAAATGGTATTCAATATTTTTAATACAAAAATTTGTTATACTATCAACACATGAATTTTCTTCTTTGTATATGTGAGAGAATTGAAATTTGATCTTTTTGATAAATTCCAAAATATTATGTCATCTATTTCTCAAACTCAAAGGCACCAAAAAGTGATCGTAGAAACACTTGACTGCTAGAAGTGAGTTTTATCTCAATATTTTCTTTAATCCGGCCTTTAAGAGGAAGGATCCAATCAACCTGTATAACTTGCTCTAGTTTCCTTAGCCTGCAAGAATCAAATAATCCTTTAAAAATTTTGAATTCAAATATTGTAGATTGTATATTACTTGTTGTAATAGAATCACAACAGTTTACAGTAGAGAAACTTCTATTTTTAATATGTTGGTTAGGCAGAAAAGTATTTCAAACTTGATTTGATTTTTGTTATTCCAGATTTTTGTGATGACATAAGTAATAATAGCAAGGTGTAAAGTGCTAGCAAGATCACTCCAAGTTATATTTGATAATATAGATATAATATCAAAGCTATGAAAGATTGATCAGTTATTGCAACTAACTAGTTCCATAATTAACTTGAAATGGACAAAAGAAAAACAAGTGATCTATAATTTCATAGGTATTGGAATAATGTGAATTGTAACACTTTCTACCTGCATGTTATAATAAACATATAAATTGAAATTTTTAAAAGAGAAAATTAACGGAATAAAATCATGTCCTCAAAAGGGATATCACGTAACAAATAGAACTAAAATGATGCCCCAGCATAAATGTTAGATAAAATAACAACGATGGAATCTAACAATGGTCCTAGACATGAAAAAATACTAGGAAACCCAAAATCCTAACCACGTCCCGATGTCATATGATATCAAATCACAACTTGGCACAAAGTTAGGCCTCGTCTCCAACATCATCAACACCATGATATCCCTCACTTGCAACAACATACATTTAAACCTTAGAATGTTTGCCAAACCTGAACAATTTATTTTTTGCATGTTTGCATTTGAATATAATTATAATTATTCAACCATTGAATTTATTTGAATTATAATATTGAGTAATTATTGTAATAATAGTTACAATACAATTATTGTGCTACTCAGTTAAATTTGTAACTTTCACCCTATTGATATACTTGAATAATTAGATATATAAAAATTTCACTCACTAATTACTATCTTTTTAGATACATTGTGCACAAGCAGTGTCAATCAACAAAAAATCACTGACATGTAAGTCGAATCGACCATTACGCATAAAATCAACTCAAAAAGACGTGTAAGTTAGAAACAATTCGACCATTATACACTGACTCGAGAGACGTGTAAGTTAGAAACAACCTGACCATGATGAATTGACTTGAAAGAAGTGTAAGTAAAACACAACTACACATTCACACACAATTGACTCAAAAAGTTGCATAAGTCGAAAACAATCTGACCATCACACATTGACTTAAAAGACGTGTAAGTTAGAAACAACCTGATCATCAACACAAAATTAACTCGGGGATTCGTGTAAGTAAAAAACAACTCAAGCATCATGCATCGACTCAGAAAAGACGTGTAAGTCGAGGAAAAAACCAACCATCATGCATAAAAGTAGACTTGGAATCCTAGCCAAAACTATGCCAGTACTTCATATTTCAAAACTTAAAAACTTTTTGTTATGTGTTCACCTTAGTGGACTATCCCAACCTTTAACCGAGACATGATATCTGGAGTATTATTTGATTTAGCCTCTAGGCATTTCATGTTATAGGTTGGTAGACAAGTGGACTATTTCAACCTATAACCAATATGTGTTATCTGGGAAGTTTAATTGACTTAGCCTCTAAGCACTTTATGCTACAAGCTAGTTGGCAAGTGGACTATATCAACCTATAACTCATATGTTATGATGGAATCCTAATTAAACATTCGAATAATTTCATGACTCCAAATCACAAAATTAATGCTATCAACCTCCGTAAGTGTACAATTCTCAAATGGTTATTTCTCTTTCTCAAAAAATCTTTAGTATACTAATACTCATGTGGAGCCATCAGAGTAATACAAAATTTAGATTAAATGTCATCATTCGGAGTATTGGTACCCTAAAAAGAATTAAGGTGGCATAGACAAAGCATATGAAACCAGAAAAAAGTTAATTTTTAGAGAAAAGAGAAAGAACCTCTCAATTTGCGTGTAAACTTGAATAGCTTCAGATTGGGGTCGCGGTTGGTTGTTGTCGTTGTAATTATTAGAGGTGCAATAGATTGTGGTGGTGGAGCCAAAACGACGCCTATATTGAACAGAGGGCTTTGCGTTTAATTTATGGGAATCGGTACGGAACAATTTCAGTTTGAGAGCGTAGGTGGGTGTACACAGCGAGGTTGCCATACCAATGCTTTTAGTCGCTTCCAAATGTGAATAGCTTTGGTTTGGCGAGTGAAGATTGGTGAATGATTGAAAATGAAATGTCGATGGTGTCTTATATGCATTCCCAATCACCCGATTAATAGACCCGATCCGAGACCCAACTGAATCTATATTTCTAGTTTTACGATTGTTTAGTGACTTTATAAATTAACTTGTATATATTATTTGAGTTAATCACCTATATAATATTAGTGTAAAATTTTTTTATATTGGCAATCAATTATATTTTTTAATAATATCATGTCATTTGTTTATTTAATAAAATAAAATAAAAAAAGATAATTTAAAAAATATGATTGGTTGTTAATGTAAAAAACTTTACACTCGCAGTGTATGAAAGATTAACTCATACTATTTTATCCTAATCGATTAAATATTTATCATATATATAAATAAATTTCAGAATAAATTATATATGTAAATGAATATTATATATCTTAATATTTAAATTATATTAATTTAAAATTTATATATATATAGTATATTTTATATCTATACAAAAATAATCTCTATTGTAATACAATTTTTTTCAATTTCTGATAATTTATTTTAAAATTTTGAATTTAATTTAAAAACATGTATAATAAATAAAAATTGAAATATATAAGAAATAAAAAATTTATTTAATATTTTATTTCATTAATTCAAATTGACGGATAATCATTTTTATGATTATCCGTCAATTTGAATTAATGAAATAAAATATCAAATAATTTTTAATTTTTTTAAAAAAATTTACAGATTTGATTTGTGTATTAAGAACTTTAAATTCAACGGTTGGATTATTAAAATTTGATATAAAGCATGAGTTATTGAACGGAGTAAGTTTAAATAAACTTAATTTTAGAGTAAATAGACCTCTCCTATATA